TATAACTTATTATAATTTCATTTAATACTCCAAGTATGGTGGTGGAGAAATATAATAGGCCGGACCGTTAGCTCCACGCATTGCGACACTCTCTCGTCTAGGACCGTTAAACAAGTCAAGTTTGAATAATTTTTTAGACTCATTTATATATAAGTAGTCAAATTATTAGACTCGAATTCAATTCGATTAACACCCCTACTCCCGTCTTGCTTATGTGCGATTGCCAATCTCTGACACTCCATCGCCCGGGTCAAAACTTGACGGGGAACTACAATATATGCACTAAGTTAACGGAATTACGTACATATCTCCGTTCACATTTTCATTTGAGCCGCACTGCAATTTGAAAAACTGCTGGGACCTAGTTAGAATTTAAGAACATTTTAGTAGTACTTAAAACTTGCCCCGGGTTAGTTTTATAATTTATTCTTGAGAACCGCACCAATCCTCAGAGAATCACACAGGCTGCATAATTCATTTATCTCCACCTTGTGCTTGTGTCTCTGTCTAATCATCGATTGTCCCCGTGCCAATCATTGTGTAAATCCGCTCGTGATAGGAGCCTTAGAAGATTCTATGGAGCTATCGAGAGGTAACCTAATAACCCATTAAAAGTTTCTTAAGTTTTTGGAGATTTGATCATTTTTTGAATCCTTTTATTTTTTGATTGCGTGTTTTCTTTCCAAAGCATTGTTGTCTGTTAGATGTTTGTTAAAATGCCACAAACAAAAGCCATGAGAAAATGAGCAAAGTTATGCTAGTAACCATGACTATGCGGGGAGACCTATAGAAATTATGCATTGCCTACCCGCGCTAAAAAGTGCTTGAAATTTTCAAACGGAATGGTTGGTCAATGTGCATTGAACTTGAATACCCAGTACCTATTCAAATATGTTATTTCTACCAGTGATATAATATATTATTAACTCAAGTCTTCGGAATATAATCATTGCAGCATCCCGACTTGCTAAAATTGGTTTAATTAGATGGTGTCGTAGTTTTTTGTTTTTAAGATAACCCATGAGGTTGAAAGCTTAACGTCTTGCTGAGTTTTGATTGTTGTTCTTTGGAACAAGTCCTCTCCTAAACTTGGCTTACTAGGTCAGTGGCCTCCTTCTCACCATATAATTTTTTAATTGGTTACTCGAAATTCTAGTTTAGGTTACATTTTGGATTAAATTGTTGGGAATTTTACTATTATGGATTACAATTTAGATTAAATTGTTTCATTAATTAAACTTGAATAATTTGCTTGTGGTTGATTAAATAATACCTCTTTCTTAGTTCGGTTTAATAGACTTGGAATATATTGATTTTTTTCTACATTGTTTTTGATAAATTTGTTTGATTTATTTTAGTTATTTATTGGTGGGGGTTCTCTATGTACACCTCGTTGTTGCTCTTCTTCTTCCATTACTTTAGATCAATTTATTTATTGGTGGTTTGACATTTTATGATCTTTTTACATGTTGTTTACGTTCATTGTAATATATTCGAATTTGCATTGCCCTTGCTTTTCTAATTTTATGTGTGTGAATACTTGGGAATTGCTTTCTTATTTTGTGACCATCATACTATTGCTTTGTGTTAATTATAGTGAATTGCATTACATGTGTACGACATTCAATATTGACTTCATTATTGTACATGAAAATGCAAAGACGTTAAGGTGATAAAATGTCAAACCGTATTGATGACATTGTTGGATTGATTGTTGTATTGGATAGGACGAGAAGAGAGATGATAGTGATGTTCTATTTGTTTGTGATCCTTATAGTAGTGTTATGAGAAATGGAGAGACAATTAAACTCACTACCAGGTCATTGTCTAGGGATGAACAGTTGAACACTTGCAAAACATCAATTGCATAGAACAACTTAGGATGAATATTGAGGAATGTTCCACTTTCTTAGATTTGGCGAAACTGTAAGCAGACATTTCAATGCTATGTTGAAGTCAGTTATTAAGTTACATTGTCTACAATTGAAGAGACCGACCTTGTCACTGATGATTGTGCAGACAACAAGTGGAAATGGTTTAAGGTAACGAAACTATACAATTGTTTCATATGTGATTGGATAGAATTTAATGTAGGTAACAAAATTAATTATGTTTCGTTATGTTTGAGTTGTAGAATTGCGTAGAAGCACTAGATGACACACACGTTAAAGTGAGGGTACCAATGTTTCACCAAGCAAGATATATCAGTCGACACGATGACATTTTAACAAATGTCCTTGGTGTGTGCTCCCAAAATATGAAATTCATTTATGTCTTGCCCAGTTGAAAAAGGTCAGCTGCTAATTCTAAGATACTACGAGATGTGGTAACGAGACGGAATGGATTTAAAGTGGCTCATGGTAAGTTATATTTGACCACTAACCTCATGTGTCTCACAGTTATCAACCTTGAAGAGATAGCCTAACAATGTTCTTATGACAACAAGTTTTTACTACCTAATGGATGCCGTTTATACAAATGAGGAAGGGCTCTTAGCTCCATGTAGGGGCCAAAGATACCGTGTGCAACAGTGGGCTGAGGGCAGCAACACTTCGTAATGTTGAGGAACTCTTCAACCTTAGGCATGTGATGGCGAGGAATGTTATAGAACGTTATTTTGCTTACTTAAAAGTTGTTGGACAATTCTAAGGACTCCTTGTCACTACCTTGTACGCACATACAATCGAATCATTGTTGTATGTTGCTTGTTGCATAATTTGGTTAAAAATGAAATGACATTTGACCTAGGGATGTCAGTGGACCGAAGCGGGGGCGGAGGTTATAGTCTCCATCCCCGTACCCGCTTAAAAAACCTTTGTCCACCCCTGTCCGCGGGTAAATTTTCAATCCCTATCCCCGTCCTTGTTTCCCCCGTACCCGCCCAAGCCCAAGCCCAAGCCCAAGCCCATGCCTATGCCTAAGCCTAAGCTTAAGCCTAAGCCTAAGCCTAAGCCCAAGCCCAAGCCCAAGCCCAAGTTCAAGCCAACATAATTCAAAATTCTAAATAAATCCAACATTTTAAATAATCCAATAACAAAACACAGTCAAATAAATACAAAAACACACTCAAAAACTACTATAAATACATGAGACTAAGAGAGATAACCCTAATCTCATTTTGGGGCTTTCTCTCAAAAATCACCAAAATCGGTGACTAGTTTATCAAAATCGGTGACAAGCTTATCAAATCCAAAACATCACACCTTAACTGTCCATGTCGTGGTCCTTTTGATGTATATACTTTTTTACGAAAAATATCCTTTACAGCATTTTTAGGATCAAGAATAACCCTTCACTTGTTGTTTAAGTGATTAATCTTCACAATCCAAACACTCATTATACATAAAGGTATATTCACATTGCATAATCCATTCATTATCTGTAAAAAATAACAGAAGATTAAAAAATACCAACAAATAATAGATGTATGAAGAAACAAACTAAACTAATAACTACGAATAGCCATTTTATATCTCAACATCCTCCTTAAATAGTTAAAAATAGACAAAGGACCAAGTTAGATAATAACAAACAATAAATTGGACAGTTGATCCATAATAACTGATATGGTTGACATTTCAAAGGTGTGCTGCTTGTTTTCAGGAAATAGCTCACGTACATATCCTAACTACAGGACAATTTGGTGCATAACTTACTCCAGAACTACTGAGATAAGTGACACACCTTTGTTAAAACATCAATCTCCTTCAGGATAGAGGTGGACAAAATAAAGAGGGCTTCCCACTCAGACCACCAGCTTCTTCAGCCAATAGGTATCGATTTACGGGTTTTGGTCTTGCAATGGTTGTATTTGATATGATCTACAAACACCAAGCAAATGAAATTAAGACCAGATGGAGGCGGGTAGAGGAGTGAGGAGTGAGGAGAGTAAGATAGGGTTTACCTAGGGGAGTATTTTTATTTATATATTAATATATATATTTTTAACAGGGATAGCGGGGGGGCGGGGGTAAGGGTAAGTCCATTTTCGCATGGGTTTATAAAGGTATCCTTGTATACGTCCACTGTCCTATATGTATAGTCCATCCCTGGTTTAAACGGAGCGGGTTTGGATGAATACCCGTTTTTCTCCTGCCCACTGCCATCCTTAGTTCGACCCAATGGAAGATGAGTTGCAAGAAGATGGTCAGGGCGATGGTCATGGTGATGTAGAGTCGGATATGATCGATATGGTCGACATATCTAATGAATGGACTATGTTTAGAAACTAACTAGTCAACCATATGAACAAGGAATAGCATGAAAGTAGGGGTGACTAAATGCTTTACCACATATTGAGTAACGGAGTAATTATGTACTATGAAGTTAATGGGTTAAATTTATAGGTAACATTTGTGTTTTGTCATAATTTTTTAAGCCAACTAATACATATTCGTATGTTTGTTGTTAAGTTAATGGTATGTGGCATGTACGTATGTAAGTAGGTAAAGTCAAGTGTTGGTACCAACAGCCAAATAGAGTGTGGTCCACGGCGAACAAGGACTGCCGCGGAGGAGGCCATTCTCATTCACGCATTAAAAGAATTGTGTGAATGGATGGAAGTGTCAGAACGACACGTTTCGACTAGGTTATCTTTAAACCTTAAAAAACAAGTTAAAGGATGCATTCCCACCTACCGATCTTCGGGCTTCACCACATATTGAGTCGAAAATCAAAGGTTGGAAAAAGCAGTACAACTTATTATTTTTAATGCTCAGCACATCCGGTTTCAAATGGAATGGTTGCGACAAGAAAATAGATATCTATAATGAAGATATATAGGTGGAGTACTTGAGGTCTTAATAATCCCTTCTATCCATTAATAATATTGAACTAATATAACTTGTTTATATTATGCTCTAGTAATTTTACTATTTAAAATTTAGAAAGACAAGAATGCGAAGGGGATGCATGGTAGATCATGACCATTGTATGATGATTGAATAATAATCTTTGGGAGATATAGGACAATAGATGAGTTTGCCCTGGTACTTGAGGAAATGATCGATGATAATTTCGTTGCGGGGGACGTGCCTGCTGATAACAATGCAGAGGCAATGCCGACCAGGGTAATGGATGATGTTGGCCATTGTCAACGTGTAGCACATGGCAGGGAGAATGTGAATGTCACCCTGTGGATTGTCGTAAGCCAAAAAAGAAAAAGGCTTAAGCTATGCAATGTCAACAAGTCTTTCCTAGATATCTAAGGTCATTGATGATTACGTTATTTCAAGTGAAAACCAACTAGCAAGTATTGCACAACGAGTAGGGTACAAGCAAGATGCATCTACACCTAGACGTACGCTCCTCGCAAAGTTGTCAAAACTAGAAGGCCTTCCAATGGCACATTGCCACGAGTTAACATACAAAATTACTTCATAAAGGTTGACATTTTTTTTAGCTTGCCAGTGAAAGAGAGCTCTCTATGTTGGTAGCATACTATGGCCTGATTTAGATGTTTATCAGGATCATATGTAATGTAATTAAGCAATGCTTTTGTCCTAAACTTTTGGTTGACACGTGTGTCACATTTCCTGTTGTAATGCCATTAACACTGCATTTAGAAAACATCACATTGGCGTGAGGTGCATGTTATTAACCATGTAAAGTCTCATGGCGATACATGTTAATTTTGGGGTTATGTATGATTATGTATTATGTAGATGATTTCGACATCGCTTATGCATGTATGACTTAGGAGTGAATTTGCCTTTTTTGTTGGATGTTTTTCTATAATGTTGTTTTCTTATTATATTATATGACTATTTTATTTTCACTGAAAATTGTAATGGTAAGTCGAGAACGATTCTACATTGTCTTTATTGTTGTAATGTTAGTTAAGAATGAAACTTCTAGACATTACTGAAGATGAAGTTGACGTGATGTTAGACTTATTAGTTGACTTTAAGCATCGAGGAAAATTATCTTTAGTTAGGCAGGTATTCAGAAAGACTGTTTGATGCACTGTTAACATGTTTGCGTCGAAGGATGCCAATGTTTTATCTTTCTATGATTGAGGGGTTGAGGGTAATCATTTTCTGGGAACGCTAGTATAATACCATTACTGAGATGTTAAATAGTGGCATGTTTGCTTGGGACACACAGAGGCGGTGTGTAGTTGAAGGCCCAACGTTGAGTGGTTTGGATTCTATACAAGTGGTTTCAGTTAATTGGTTTCACGTTCGTCTCGATAGAAAGTGTAATATTATTCATACATGTTGCTTATGCTATGGTTCTATATTTTTCACTTCAAATTGTTGTAGGATGATGGCTTTGCTTGTAACTATTATTTGGATCCTTGCCCAAACTTTTAATTCTTGGAAGTGATTTTCAAGAACGATGTACTAAGTTCAAACCAACAACACATTGATAGTAGTGTTTGATCAAGTCCATCAGTGAATTCGAAGAGGAGGGAAGCGGGTGTCATAGTTATTGATGATGATTGACCTCGTCAGTTATCATGTAACAAAAATGTGTATTTAGGTTGATTGTGTATGGCAGTGTGTAATGTTGCCTTATTTTGTTATGTATTATATAAGACAACATTAATTTCACTTGTTATTGTTGACGAATATTAACCATGTTGCCTTATGGTTTTGTGTATTTTTGTATAAGACAACGTTTTATTACAATTACATATGTATAATGCAACATTTTATTACAACAGATACATTTTATTACAATTTCAAGTATATGTAGTAATGTGTTGCCAGCAACACTTGATTCCATCAATCTCAAAGAGCTCTACTAACATACATTAATACCTAATAGTTACATATTAAACGGATATAATTGTAATTAAATGTTGCCTTGTGCAAAAATACACAAAAACATAAAGCAACATGGGTAATATTCATCAACAATAACAAGTGAAATTAATGTTTTATATAATACATAACAAAATGAGGTAACATTACATACTACCATACGTAATCAACCTAAATACACCCTTACTAACATTCAAAATTTTTGTTACATGATAATCGACGAAGTTAATCATCATCAATAACTATAACATCCACTTCCTTCCTCCTCGAATTCATTGATGTTCTTGATCCAACACTACTGCTATCAATGTGTTGTTGGCTTGAGCTTGATACATCGTTCTTGAAAATCACTTCCAAGAATTAAAAGTTTGGACAAAGATTCAAACAATAGTTACAAACAAAGCCATCATCCAGCAACAATTTGATGTGAAAAATATAGAACCATAGCATGATCAACATGTTTGACTAATATTATATTTTCTATCGAGACAAACGTGAAATCAATCAACTGAAACCATTTACTTGTATGGAATCCAAACCACTAGGCATTGTGTCTTCAACTACACATTGCGTTTATGTGTCTCAAGCAAACATGTCATTGTTCAACATCTCAATAATAGTATTATACTGACACTTCCAGAAAATGATTACCCTCAACACCTCACTCATAGAAAGATGAAACCCTGGCATCCTTTGACGGAAACGTGTTAACAGTGCATCAAGCAGTTTTTCTAAATACCTGCCTACTAAAGGTAATTTCTCTCGATGCTTAAAGTCAACTAATAAGTCTAGCTTCGCGTCAATTCATCCTCAGTAATGTCTGGAAGCTTCATTAGTATCACAAAAATAAAGACAATGTAGAATCGTTCTCGCCTTGTCATTATAATTTTCACTGAAAATAAAATAGTCATATGATCATAATAAGAAAATAGCATTATAGAAAAACATTCAATAAAAAAGGAAAATTCATTCCTAAGTCTACACACATAAGCGTTGTTGAAAACATCCACATAATATATAATCACACATAACCCCAAAATTAACATGTACCTTGCGGCAATATCGTGTTTTCTAAATGCAGTGTTAACGACATTACAAAAGGAAATGTGACACACGCATCAACCAAAAGTTTAGGCCAAAAAACATTGCTTAATTACATTACATACGACCTGATAAATATCTAAATTAGGCCACAGTATGCTACTCACCCAGAGAGCTTTCCCTTCCAAAGGTAAGCTAAAAAAATGTCAACCTTTATGTTGTGTGAAACAATTTTATATTCCGCCTTGTGGTGGTGTGTCATTATAAGGCCTTCTAGTTTGGACAACTCTGCAAGAATTGCATGTCTAGCAATTGATGCATCTAGCTCTTACCCTACTCATTGTGCAATGCTTGTTAGTTGGTTTCCATTTCAAACAACGTAATCTCCAAAGACCTTAGATATCTGAGAAAGACTTGTTGCCATTGCATCGCTTAAAGCGTTAGCCTTTTTCTTTTTTGGCTTATGTGTCTACAGGGTGACCTTCACATCTTCCCTGTCCCGTGCTACACTTTAAGAGTGGCCAACATCATTCATTCCCCCAGTTGGCATTGCCTCTACATTGATATAAGTAGGTACATTCCTAGTAGCTGAATTATCATCGATCATTTTGTCAAGTCCTTAGGCAAACTCGTATGTTACCCTATCTGACCCAAAGATAATTCATCCAATCGTCATACAATGACCATGACTTACCACGCATCCCCCTTTGCATTCTTGTCTTTCTACATTGTAAATAATAAAATTACTAGGGCATAATATAAACAAGTTATATTAGCTCAATATTATTAATGGATGCAAGGGATTAGTAAGACGTTCAGGTACTCCACCCATAGACATCCACTTTCTTGTCACGATCATTCCGTTCAAAACCGGATGTGCTTAGCATTGAAAACAATGAGTTGTACTATTTTTTCCCGTCTTTGATTTCGACTCAATATATGGTGAAGTCCGAAGGTCGGTAATTGGAAATGCATCCTTTATATTGTTCACTAAGGTTTGAAGATAACCGGGTCGAAACAAGTCATTTTGACACTTCCATCCATTCACACAAAGTTCTTTCAATGCGTGAATGAGAATGACCTCTTCCACGGCAATCCATGTTCGCCCTGGACCACGTTCTATTTGGTTGATGACACCAACACTTGACATGACCTACTTACATACCTACATGACACATACCATTAACTTGACAACAAAAATATGAATATATATCAGTTGACTTAAGAAATTATAACAAAACACAAATGTTGCCCATAAATTTAACCCATTAACTACATACTACATAATTGTTCCATTACTCAATATGTGGTAAAGCATTTAGTCACCCCTAATTTCACGCCATTTATTTTACATATCGTTGGCTACTTGGTTTCAAAACACAATCTATTCATTAGATATTTCAACCATGTCAATCACATATGGCTTTATATCATCATGACCATCGGCCGGACCATCTTCTATTGGGTCGAACGCCATTTCATTTCTAACCAAATTATGCAACATGCAACAATGATTCGATTGTGTGTGTGTATAGCGTAGTGAGCTAGTGATAAAGAGTCCTTAGAATTCCCAACGATTTTTAAGTATGGCAAAACAACGTTTTATAACATTCCTTGCCATCGCATGCCTAAGGTTGAAGAGTTCCTCAACATTGTGAGGTGCAACTGCCCATTGGCCCACGGTTGCACATGGTATCTTTGGCCCATTTATGGAGCTAAAAACCTTTCCCTCGTTGTGTAATCGACATTCACTAGGTAGTGGGTGCTTGCGTAAAAATTTTTGTCTTAAGAACATTGCTAGGCTATCTAATAAAAGCTGATAACTGATAGACACATGAGGCTAGTGGTCAAATCTAACTTACCACGAGCCACTTTAAATCCATTCCGCCTCATTACCGCATTTCGTAGTATCCTAAAATCATCAATCGACCATTTCCAATTGAGCAAAACATAAATGAATTTCATATCTTGGGAGCACACACTAAGGACATTTGTTGAAATATCACCGTGTCTACTCCTATATCTTGCTTAGTGAAGCATTGATACCCTCGCTTTAACATGCTTTCCCTCTTGTGCTCTTACGCAATTCTACAACTTAAACATAACGAAACATAATTAATTTTGTTCTCTTCATTAAATTCTACCCAATCACATATGAAACAATTGTATACTTTCCGTTACCTTAAACCACTTCCACTTTTTATTTGTATAGTCGTCAGTAATAAGGTTAGGTCTCTTCAATAGTAGACAATTTAACTTAATAATTGACTTCAACACAACATTGAAATGTCTGCTTACAATTTTGCCAGAAATTAGGAACTAGAACATTCCTCGCTATCTATCCTAAATTATTCTATGCAATTGATGTCACTCTCACCAATTAGATGGTGCAAATGTTCAACTTACAACTTACAATCGATTTCTAGACAATGACCTTGATGGTTGTGGTTTTGATTGTCTCTCCATTTCCCACAACACTACTATAAGGACCACAAACAAATAGAACATTGCTATCATTTCTCTTCTCGTCCTATCCAATACAACAATCAATCTGATGATGTCGTCAATACGGTTTGGCATTTTGTCACACCTCAACGCCCTTGCATTTTCATGTACAATAATGAAATCAATATTGAATGTGGTATGCATGTAATGCAATTTACTATAATTTACACAAAGCAATAGCATGATGGTCACAAACTAAGAAAGCAATTTCCAAGTATTCACACACATAAAATTAGAAAACCATGGATAATGCAAATTCGAATATATTACAATGAAAGTAAATAGCATGTAAAAAGATCATAAAATGCCAAACCACCAATAGATAAATTGATCTAAAGTATTGGAAGAAGAAGAGCGACAACGAGGTGTACATAGAGAACCACCACTAATAAATAAATTAATAGGTCAATGTTTTTGCTCTCTTTTATGGAACCAGATCTGTGTGGGTCGATGGAACGACAACGAGAAAGAGAGAGCGATCGATGGTTAGATGGAACCAGATCAGATTTTCATGAAACCAGACCTGTCCCAAAGATGGTTAGATTTCCTCGTTCAGTCCAAAGAGAGAGAGAGAGAAAAATGTGTTTCCATGTAAAAAAAAAAACCTGTTGGGGATGCAAGCAGATCCAACCACAGGAGGAGCAACACACAATCACCATTACACCACCAACAGCTGAAAGAGTGGCTTTCCCAGTAAACCCAGAAGAAGAAAAATCGTTAGCTAGATATTCAGGTAATGGGTTTTCGTTGGTCCAGAGACCCACATAGTGCATTCAATGGTTAGATTTAAGCAGATCTGGATCTCCATAGTGAGCCAAATCTTTGGGTAATAGATTTTTGTTTAGTGTAGAGAAGGAGAAAGAGAGAGAAACGCTTACCTCCAACCAGCCCAGTCGTTTTCTTCGCAGTGTTCTTTGTTGCCTTTACATAGAGAGCACCTTGCAATCACAAGCCTTGAACAAGAAACCACATACTCTCATCTTGAAGCTCCGATGAAGACTTGACAGTTGATTCAAACTCTTTGGGTGCAATAGTCTTATCTATCACCTTACCACTTCTCAATGTGTTAATTGCTTGAGCATGACTCCGAGGAGACTTAGATGTGGAAGAGGCATTAGCCTAAAATTGACCTTGTGATAGTTTAGGTTGAGAGGAAAACTTGCCTTTTCTGAGATACTTAATGATTAGGTCAACGTAGCTATACGACTCTTGATGTCTTCAATTTATTGTGAAGTTTATGACTTGAAGTCATTTAGAGACTGAGTCGATTAAGTATTGAAACTCATTTGACTCTTCATAAAGTGGTTAAGAGTATCTTCAGGACTTCTTTTATGTGGTGGTTGGTATGGTTGATACACAGAAGAGCCTTGAGGTGGTGGTGGTGGACCTTGTGGTTGATGATTGACAAGGGATTGCTCTGTGTTTCTCCAACTGAAATTAGGGTGGTTCTTCCACCCTAGATTGTAGATTTCAGAATATGGGTTAGAGTAAGGCTTATTAAAACTAGGGATTGCATTGAATTGCTCTAACAAAACCTCCTTGAACACTAGAATGGTGGAGCATTCCCTGTAAGATGCCCAGACAAAGCACAAATTCCACACACTTGTTTTGTGGGAGGCACAACAGTGACTTCATTCACCTTCCTCATCACATGGAGTTGTGATGGTGGATATTTTCAATCCAAAAATAAGATTCTCAAAGAGGAAAAACTACTCTCTAGTAAAGGATCTGGTTATTCTTATATGTACTAATGTAAATCTATACAACTGTATAACTCAGTTAATGCCCATGTCAGTGGAAGATTAATCGGAAGATATCCCCATAAACCACCAAGTATGTTTCGGTGATTGAATGTGAAACTATAAAGACTGTGTTCCAATACTTGTAGGGAATTGTAAGTATTATAACCAAATGGTTGATCATGGTGGCATCGTTGCAGCCAATTAGAAATTTGTAGTCACTTCCACTATGAATTAGTGGTGCCTATACAGTCAATCAAATTGGTAAGACCACAAAGCAGTAGCTGCAACCCTAAGGCTGAGGGGGAGTTGAACTTTATTAGTACACAAGCCAATGTAGATGCACACACACATATATGCTTGGAAACAAAATAGAATACTAAATATGTTGTGGAATCTCAATTAGAACAAGAGAAATGAGTACGGGTAACTTTTCTTCAAAGTTACAGGGATGAAAAAGTGGGAAGACGTGAAACACCGAAACCCACAAATATGTGATGATGCAAGCAGTTGCCTGAGGTTCTTGGAGGCTAACTAGGAGGAAGATGTATGACTGGTTTTGACTGAAGCAAGAGAGTGTGTCTTTAACATAGTACGAGACTGGGTTTTCAATATGAGGAACGGTTGTCCCATGAGGTTCAAAAACCTATATTTTATTGTTCCACCTCATTATCTTGTAGTTTAGCTTTCACATACTTTAACCACTATACAATCACAGAATCGAAGATTTATAATGACACGTCTTTATCTTACAGATCATGATGTACCCAATTTCTTTTTAATTGTGCTTTGCTCGTCAATTCAGATTCCCAAAAAATGAGCATATCATGAAAGCGACTTTCATTTAGACTACTATTCATGCACTCTGCGTGTGTATGTGTGTATTCTTCTCTCAAATCAATTCATTATGTTCTGTTTTGGAATAGTGTATGTTCTGTTTTGGAATAGTGTTATCAGAACCATCTTTGCTATTGGTTTTACTGTGTAGTGAGGGATTGATATTTGTTTTTGGTTGATGTAGGGAACTATGTAACCATTGTTATTGGATTGGGAGATTCTATTTGTGATGTGATTATTTGTTTGCGCGCTTATTGTTTGATGTAAGCTGATTGTTTCAACTAATTTTGGAAGTCGTATAATAATGGTTGTGGGATGATCAAAAGACCAAATTGACTAAATATAGGCAACCTGAGCAACCCAAGGAATTTCCATTGTCCAAGCATGAGCAGACACCCATGGGATTCTTGAGTTCCCCAGGCACCAACATCAGACAGCATAAATTGTACCACCCAGTCATGTTCACTATTGTAACTTGGATAAGGTTTTTGC